ATGTCTTCTTGTTTGTATTTATATTTTTCTGTATATTATATACGTACCAACGTTGAACAGCACAGAAATTTGACAATCCTTGGCTGCTTTTTCTGTATTTTTCTCCCATTCTGCGCCGTTTTCCCGGCTTTCTCTTATTTTCGTCAAAATCCAACAGAACTATAAAAAAAAAAGCTATAGTAAAAATCCCAACACATTGCTATTTATCATTTTTTTTTTGCTCTTTTTTGTATCAGAACAAAACTTTTATAGTTGTTCAGTGCCTATAAAACATTGGCCTGAATAAAAAACACTTTTTTTGTGTTCTTTTTTAAAAACCAAACATTGATTCTCTGTTAAAAAAATTAAAAAAAAAAGAAACTTTTCAAAACAACAAATTTAGGAAAACTGTAAAAGTTACTGACGGACTATTGTTGTTTGATTTAATTCCACCTTTTTCTTTCACCTACACAAATACCTCTCTATTATAATGTATCTATTCACTTCTCAATTTCATTCTCATCGCCTATCTACCTGACTGTGCAATTATTTTTTTTTTTGACAGCCATAATTTTTATGTCAACCTTATTTGTTGTACACACTAAAAAGAAATCATAAACATAAGTTCTCACCCAGAAAGCCAGAGCAAAAAAAAAATTGACAGAGATGAACAAGAAGAAAAAAATTGTTGAATGTGTTTTTTGCAGGTAATAAAGTTTTGATGAAAAAAAGATGAAAAACAATCGGAATAAGAAGGGTAAAAAGCAAAAACGCTGAAGTATGCAATTTGCAGTTAAAAAGCTTTTTTTTTTTCAAAGATAATATTTCAATATAATGATGTTCGTCGGTTTAAAATTCTTTGAAAATAAGAACAAAAAGAAAAAAAAGGGAAGAAGAAACATGAAAAAATTGAAGAAAGAGAAGAGATTCTTTTCTGTGTTTACGTCATTCATTTTTTTTTTTGCTTTTTTTTTAAACTTTCTGTTCTGCTATTTTTTATAGTTACTTCAAATATTGCTTTTTCGTGACTTGAAAAAAATAAAAAAGGATAGAAAAGATGATCAAAGTAGAGAATTACTTAGGTGAATAAATTACGTGTATATAAAAGAGTATTAAAAAACTCGTGAAGAAGAGTAGTCAAAAAAAGAGTAAGAATAACTGAAAAAAGAAAGATCAACAATAGTATAACTTAAGCAGAAATCATCAATCGGTCGCGGGAACAGATATGGTTGACGGGCAGAAGCGTTCATCGGTGGGTACCGGGGGAGGGAGGGGGGGTGGGCAATAGTTTGCTGCAAAGGTAATGGAAGGGGTGAACAAATTGGATAACCGAATACCGTTAGAATAACACCCAATAAAAACCAACCATACAGAAGTTACGCAAATATAATTCACAATGACGGCCATATTGATTGTTGAATATAATTTTAAATCATCATCATTTATATATTTATTTATATATTTATACATTTGAATAGAAATTTTTTTTAAAATTTTTTGGTGATTGTCGTTGTCGTTGCTGCTGCTCCTGATGCTCCTACATGAATTGCTCGTCAGCAGCTACCGGTCTAATGGAATGTAACAGCAAATACCTTCTTCTCTCATTGAGCTGCACAAATCATCTTTTATCAAACACTGTTCTGTTGTTTCACAAAGAACTTCTCTTTTTTTTTTTTTTTTTTTTTTTTTTTTTTTT